TATATATATATATATATCTTTCAACGGTCACCTTTTTTAAGAGTGACACGAGAGTGAAGTGAGACACAATCACGGTGGACAGAGGAGTTGAGGATACAGGTACTAAATGATCCTCAGAGACAAAGTGAAGTCTAACTCAATTTTGGTGTTTATTTAAATTGTAAGAGAAAGCAAAATTAGACAAGATCAACGAGATATATAAATCGTGTTTTTAAATACAGCTTCAAACTCAAAGAAAAACATGTAGTATGGAAATGAGTAAATGAATACAATATCAAAAAAATTTGCGTTGTTGAAATAATAAAAAATTACAAGGATTATAATGCTCAAAATTCTTATAACTGCCTGAAATTAACATTTATGCCAAAAATTAATTTAAAAAGATCCACTATTCAGATTTAGTTGCGTTCATAAAAATTAACATGAAAAAAGTTTTAAGAAAATAATACCTTACATATAACTAATTTTACGGAATGCTTTATATAGTTTTCCAACCCAACTTTGTAATGTTGGCTGGACAAAATTGTTTTTCTTTCCAGTAAGCTTACAAGTAACTTTAAAGTAGGAATCAACAATAGAACGCTATTCATAGTAGAGTGCGTGAAATTTCATGTTTACAATGGAAAATTGTAATATATAATCGTCAATACAACTGAGCTATACATAAAAATATGCAGACTTAAAATGCACTAGGGCTTGATTCTCATCTTCTTTCTTAACAAACCAAAATTCACAAGGTTTGAAATGAAAAAAAAAAAACAAATGTTTCGTACACGTACAGGTAATACTACTGCATGGCTCGCAATATGAGAACGTCGCTCACACGATCAAAGACCTCAAAAATAAAATTTATTTTTGACAAGAAAAAAAAAAAAACCCATAGGGATGACTGAGAAAGCAGTCAGTAGGTCACCTCTTGGTTGACTGAGCAGCCAGAGATTTTTACCCACCAACTAAATGATTTCCAGAAGTGGGATCAACGCTTGTCATTCATCTGTTCATTAGGAAAAAATACTCAGCGCCCCCACCACAAATCTAATACCAGGATAAAAGAAAAGAAAAACCCAAGAAAACACCGGAAAACTTCCTCCAAGCAAAATCACTACGCATCGAAGGACTTAGCACGAAAAAAATTGTCCTCCTTCTTGACTGGTCGCCGACTCAGTACCACCACTTGGTTGGATCAATTAAGCAACCAGGGATAGTTTATGTTCTTTGTCTGAACTTATCAACATTTGTTGATGAGGAGGTAATACCCGAATAGGAAGGGAACACTTATTATAATTTTTTTATTGTGCAGCAACGTGTAGTTACGGTGCTATATGTTCGGCAGCAATCAAGAATGACTGGAGCTGGATCGATGCCGCACGGACCCGTCGTTCCTTGCCTTGCATCATCCCCTTGGAGCTGTCGATTCGTACTCCCTTGACAATCTCCCCTTTGGAACCTTGAGTGCTTTTCAAGGAAGCAATCTCTTGAGACTAGACTCCCAATTCGATTGCTTTAAGCTCTCACAAGTGAGTCCCCTCACCTGGTCGATCGTTAACCACCGCCGCAGCTAATGTGCGTTTATCGTTAAACTGAGGCTCTGCGCATTCCCCATACCAGTTCGTCCCTCTACGCTCTCATGCACACACACACACACATACACACACACACACGCACGTAAGGCACCCTTTATACTTGTACTTTCAATATATATAGGTTAAATTGTTTTTCATTTATTAAACGATTATCATTATAATTTTCTTACTGAATCTTGAAGCTCTCTTACTCTGACAGATTATTTCTATTTCTGTCCCTCGCTTTTATTGAATTTACACATATATATTTATTGACTGGAAAAATGCTTTAAGTTTGGTCATGTACACTGTTTTTTAGGATACCTAAAGAGGACCAACTGTACGCCACGTTACTTTGCCTTTGTAGGTCTGCTGTAGGATACCTATAGAGGTCCTCATGAACTAAGAAGGTATTCTCAACAGATTTATGTTTGGGTATGTATGTATATTGTGACGTGGTAGCTGAAGCTACCACGTCACTATATACCTATATTCTGGGCGAGTCATTGGCGGCTACCGAGTCCTATGATACTGTATATATTTTACATATGTATCGTTTTACAACACATTCTTAATGTGTGTTCTCGGTGCCGCGGACTACGAGCCAGAGGAGAGAGAAGGACCGAAGACCAGAAAAGGGATTGAAAGAGTGTGTGG